TGGATGACTGAGCCCAGAGAACTGTACCCAGTTCTGGGCACAACCCTGTAAGATGGACATTGACCACCCCAAATTATGACGTGGAAGGGACAGCTAAAGAAACCAGGAAGGCTAAGCAGGTAAATAAGATTCTCTCCAATTACGGAAATCAGACTGCTCGGCAGTGCACAAGCTAGAAGTAGCAGATTGCAGCTCAGCATAAAGACTTTGCCATGATTAGAGCCGATATGAGGTCGAGAGGTCCTGGTCATTGGCGGTATACACAGTCTGGATGGCCACTCGGTGGGAATGCGGCAGAGAACATTAAAGGTAAATTCAACATACAAAATCCTCTTTTTAATATTAAATAAGTTTCCATCACCAGGCTACATTAAAATTAAAGCAATCCCTTCCAACTAGACTCCTACCACTCTGAGGAGATGAAATTTCTCCTTCTTAATAAAAAAAACTGCATTCAATGGCATATATACGTGTATAACTGAATCACTATGCTGTACACCAGAAACTAATACAACACTGTAAATCAACTAGACTTCAATTTGAAAAATGGGCAAAAAAAGTTAATAGAACAATAGTCTGTGCTCATACTGGATGGGAAAAGTGGTTTCTAGTTATTATTATTGGAAATCAACAACAATAGTAAATAAAAATAATAATAGTTACTATGTTAAGCCCCATGTTGCCAGGCAGTATACAAAGTGCTTCATGCGTATCACTTGACTTAAATCTTCAGCAGTGCTATGAGGTAGGCATTCTTATTATCCCCATTTTACAGATGAGGAAACTGAGGCCCAAAGTTTAAGAAACTGGTCCAAGGTCTCACTGCTGGCTTGGAGTTGAGCCCCATCTGACTCTAAACCAATAATTGCTACTGCCTCTCCTCATTTGACAAATAAATCCACAGAAAGTGACTGCAGAAGTGCCAAGCTCATAGCAGGTACTCAAGGAACAAATGTCCCCTTCCCTTGAACAGATTCTCAAACCCCAAGTCTAATCTTGTGGTTGTACTCTTTGCACACTCCGTGGTGTGTGGGTGGGGACTGACCTTGCTGTGCAGCTCCTCAGGTAGACTCACACTTTGGGTCCTTTCAAACTGCTCCATGAGGGCTCTTGTCCCCTGGCTGTCAGAGCCGGAGAGCAGCCAGAAGATCCTCTCCATGTTGTAGGGCACCTGGGCAGAAAGACAGGGTCCCGGGGGTCACACTGACCTCAACCCTTGTCCATCTCCACCCAACCAACACCTGGGTCCGACCTGCACACCTCCTCACAGGTCCCACCTGAATGTCCATCGCTGATGCCAAGGTTGGTTTGACTGCCCCGGACAGAGAGAAGTCTCCCCGCTGGACAGTCCTGTGGATGATGTCATTGCAGTTCACCACCACGGCCAGGTGGATGGGCAGACCCATCTTCTGAGCAATGCACCCGGCTTAAGACAAAAGAGGAGAAGCATCATGGTTTCTTAGTGCACAAACAACAAAAGGAAAAACAGATAAAGTGAACTGCATCAAAATTGAGAAATCTTTGTGCTTGTTGAAGCTTTTGTGTGTCAAAGGACACTGTCAAGAAAATGAAAAGACAGCCTACAGGATGGGAAATCCTATTTGTGACTCGTATATCTGATGAGGGACTTGAACTCTGAACAACTCATCAATAGCAACACAAACAACCCAATTAAAAAATGGGCGAAGATTTCCCTGGTACTGGTGATGTTGAGCAACTTTTCATGTTCCTGTTGGCCATCTGCATATCCTCTTTTGGAAAAATGTCTTTTCAGTTCTTCTGCCCATATTTTAAATGGGTTGTTTGTTTCTTTTTAATTGAAGAACAGTTGATGTAAAATGCTGTATTCGTTTCTGGCATACAGCATCAATGGACTTGGAGGGCAGTATGCTGAGTGCAGTAAGTCAGACAGAGAAAGACAAATACTGTCAGATATCACTTACATGTGGAATCTAAACAAATGCAACAAGCTAGTGAACATAACAGAAAAGAAACAGATGGACAGATGTAGAGAAGGAGCTACTGGTTACCAGTGGGGAGACAAAAGGCAGAGGGGAAAGATGGAGGTGGAGGATTAAGAGGTACAGACCATCAGGTATAAATTAAGCTACAAGGACATATTGTACAACATGGGGAATATTATAATTTTATTATTATTTTATAATAACTATAAATGGGATATAACCTTTACAAATTGTGAATCACTATATTGTATACCTGTAACATAATATTGGGCATCAACTATACTTCAATTTAAAAAACATGATATTGTAAAGTAAATTTTTAAAAACAGGCAAAGGACTTGAACAGACATTTCTCCAAAGAAGGTCTACAAATGGCCAATGAACACGTGAAAAGATGCTCAACATCATTAGTCATCAGGAAAACACCAACGAAACCCACAGTGAGGTACCATGTCATACCCAGTAGGATGGACAGATAATAACCAGTCTTGGTCAGGATGGGGAGAAACTGGAACCCCCATGCACTGTTGGTGGGAATGTAAACAGTGCAGCTGCTTTGGAAAACAGTCTGGCAGTTGCTCTAAAAGTTAACCATAGAGTTTTAATACGATCCAGAAATTCACTCCTAGTCATATATACTCAAGATAATTGAAAACAGATCCACACAAAGACATACACAAATGTTCACAGCAGCATTATTCAAAATAGCTAAAATACTGGAGTAATTCAAATGTCCATTAACTGATCAATGGACAAATAAAATGTGGTATATGCATAGAATGCAACAGTACTCAGCCATGAGAAGGACCGAAGCACTGATCAACACGGATGAGCCTTGAAAACATTATGCGAAGTGAAAGAAGCCAGACACAAAAAGCCACGTGTTGTATGATTTCATTTATATGAAGTCTCCAGAATAGGAAAAATCTATACACGCAAAATAGATTAGTGGTTGCCTAAAGCTGGGAGGACGGGGAATGACTGCTACTGGGAACAGGACTTCCTCCTAGAGTGATGAAAATGTTCTAAAATTGATTATGGTGATGGTTGCACAAATCTGTGTACACTAAAAACTCTTAAGCTGTATACTTTATTTTATTGAAAAAATTTTATTGAAGTATAGTTGGTTTGCAATGTTGTGTTAGTTTCAGGTGTACAGGAAAATGATTCAGTTATACATATATATATCTTTTTCAGATTCTTTTTCATTATAGGTTATTATAAGATATTGAATATAGTTCCCTGTGCTCTACTGTAGGTCCTTGCTTACCTATTTTGTGTATAGCAGTGTGTATCTGTTAACCCCAGACTCCTAATTTATCCCTCCTCCTCCTTTCCCCTTTGGTAACCATCTGTGTCTGTGAGTCTATTTCTGGTCTGTAAATAAGTTCATTTGTGTCATGTTTTAGATTCCACATATAAGTGATATTACATGATATTTATCTTTCTCTGTCTGACTTACTTCACTCGGTATGATCATCTCCAGGTCCATCTGTGTTGCTGCAAATGGCATTATTTCATTCTTTTTTTCAAGTTGTATGCTTTAAATGAGTGAATTGTATGGTATAGGAATCATATAGCAATAAAGTTGTTACAAAAAAAAAAAGAAGAAAGAAAGAGGGGGAGAGAATGTTACTGTGCCGGATACTGTTCTCCATGCTACGCCCCTCACCAGGCACTGACACACCCGCTCACCACCATTTGCAGAAGAGAAAGTAAAGGTTCTGAGAGGTTGAAATGACCCATCCAAAGCCTGCTCAGTGGCAGAGTAAGGATCTGAACTAGGTCTGCCTAAGTCCGGAGCACAAATCTTGTCCCCTGAGAGCCTCCTGGAACCATCGCCTGCAGACTGAGTGTCCTGGAAAGGGACTGGGGGAGGACAGGGCAGCACCCTCCAGTCACCATAATAGCAGTTCCTGTCTGCATGGAACAAGCGAGGAGTTCCTCACCCTGAGAGATGGAGAGCCCAGAAAGGTAACATAAGTTTAGGAAGGTTCCTTGAACGGTTTATCTCTGATGAGTAGGTAAAAAGTTAGGGGTAACCACACCACCCAATATCACTCTTAATTTTGCAGAGCGCCTTCACAGTCTTAGTTCATGTGATACTCACATCACCTTGTATATGACAGAGAAGCAGTGGAGGTTCAGGCGGGTCCAGGACTTAAGGTCAAGCAGCTGGCTGCTGCTGGGGTAGGGCTAGACTGGAGCTCCCTCTGAAAACGTGGCCTTTGTACCAGGCACTATGGCAGGCACTGGGACACGTGCAGGGGGCATCACTCACTTGGGAGTGAAGCAAATGGGGAGGGTGGTGGGCTTCCTCCGTGAGTGGGAAGAAGGCTGAACGTCCTTATCTAACAGCCAGCTCACCGTTCCTTCCATCCCTGTGTTAGCGGAAGGAGTCAGGACTGCTAAGATGCTTTCATGATCTCACCTAAGCCGTCCTTGGTGCCCATCAGAAGCGACGCCACTGACAGAACCATCGGAAGCAGTAACCCAGCCCATCAGGAAGTGACCCACCGAGCTCGCGAGGATGCAGACTCCGGAGCCCGCCTGCCTGGGCTGCAATCCCGGCTCTGTGACTGACGAGTGTGTCACCAGGGGCAAACTGACCGGCTTCTCTGTGCCTCAGCTTCCTCATTATGAAATGGAGATTATAGAATCGTCCCCCTCATAGGTGCACAAGGATCAAACAAGTTAATACATGAGAAGCACTGAGAGCAGTTCCTGATGCAGTTCGCCTAGTGCTTCACAAACGTTAAGCATCAGCCCAGGAAATGACTTCAATGCCACGCCGCTGCACAGCACCTGACCCTCACAAAGTTCACGTACACACAGAAACAATCTTATTTGTGCCTCACAGTTGTCCTGAGAGATACAGTAAATGGTTCAGTCTCTCTTTTACAGCCAAAGAGCTGAGTCTAAGGGACAGTCATTCAGCTCGTAAAGGACAGAACTGGGGCCAGAGCCCCAAGTCCAGAGCTCCTTCCACGTCATGTGGACTCTGGGGAGAACACACCACATCAGGTGAGCCCTTACTCTCAGAGCAGGCAGCTGGCCGAGGCTGGGAGTAAAGTCCCTGTTTCTGGAAGAGAGCACTGCCAGCCGGGCACAGCGGCTGAGCTTTGACCTTGTCTCTCCACCCTCGGCTGAGCAAACGCTTCAGATCAGGAGGCTGGAGCACGTGGAGGTTAACCCGTCACTTTCTCCCTTGCCCCCAACTCCAGGGAGAGAGGCAGAAGTGTTCTGAGGGCTTCTGTGTCGTTTCCATCACCTTCAGACTCAGTGTCCCCTAGCACTTAACCTTTGTCTTCATAGTTACAGCCAAAGGGCAGCTGGGAGGACTGGGGCCATGGGCATTTTTCTGGAAAGTCCATTTCCGCCCAGGGGTTTCCTTACCTGCCAGGTTACCAGCAGCCCCTGTTGGCACAACCACCTCCACGGCGGGCAGGGGGTCCGTGTCTAAGGATGGTGCACACCGGAAATAGGCGAAGAAGTGGTGGGCCATTTGCACCAGGACCCGGGACCAGTTGATTGAATTCAGACTCATCAGATTGTGCATCTTGACAAAGGCCACGTCTGCAAACACGGCCTTGATCGGCTCGTCCAGCTCATCACTGTTCCCCTCCACTGTCAGGGGAGAGAGGAGGGGAGCTATCAGGGGCATGAAGACCGCCAGGGGATCAGCACTGGTCCACAAGGCCCCCATGCTGAGTCCATCCTGCTGGGACCTTTGCTCGCCTTGGTTTCTTTACTCTCATGTGTCTTGGCCTGGTATTCTAGACTCAAAATTAAGCTTCTCAAGGACAGAAACCATGTCTCATCTCCTTGTCATCTTTCCAATGTTTCTACCGTTATATAAAATTAGTTATAAAATGTCAGCCTTCTGGGATATTGGGGGAAGAATTCCTCTTGGTGCTCCACGCCTACTTCCTCTCCCTCTGGGAGCAAGGAAGGATGCTTCATCAGGTTGTGAGATGCTGAGACCTGATCTTTACTCCACAGTCCTCTATTAGGGGCTGGTGGGAAAAGAGTCACTCCTCCCACGTGGTCTGTCTTTCTTCTCCCATTAAGACCACAAGGGTTACATGCCCTCTACCCCTACGCGGCAGGTAAGCTTGCACAGGCAGGGCTTCTCCTCCCTCAGCTGAGTGTGTACACACTCTAATTTATAGAGGAATTACTGGGTAAATTTATGGGCAAATCAGCTATTAGTCCAGAGCATTCCTCAATCCAGCCCAACCAAGCAATCAAGCCAAAATTGATCTCTTTCTCGAAACTTGGATCTATTTCTCCATTGGATCCAAACTTGGAGGAGAAGGGGGTAAGATTATTGGGGGGAAGTGCCAGAGTTGGCTCTGAAGTCACTATTCATTCCACCCTTGACCGCTGTGTAGCAGCAGAGGCTGCAGGACTGACTCCAGATCTACACACAAGAGGAATGTTTGCTCGGTTCTAGGGAAAGATTCACTGCTTTTACAAGAGCCACAGGAAGAGACACTTGGTTACCGTAAGTAACCATCATATGCTGCAAGAGGAATGAGCCTGAAGACTGGAAGATGGAGCGGAGAACCTGGGTCCCTGAAGGCACTACTGAGTCACTGAACCAACCAATTGGGAGCCCATCCCACCTCTAGACTCCCAGGTATATGTGCTGGAAAACATTCCTGTTCAAGCCAGTCTGAGTTAGAATTTCTGTTACTTTCAGCCAAAAACCTCCCAAATAATATATAACTAGCTCTTGCTGATTACTCTATGCTTAAGAAGAATCAAATATATGTATATATGGAAATTAATGACTTTATAAACAATCAGTGTCCAACAGACAACAGTCCAGGTGGCCCATCCCTACTCCCTGAAATGTTAACTCCTGAATTTATCCACATCCTCCAGGAAACCAAATCAGAAGATTCCAGAACAGAAAGGGAGAACTTGACGGCAGTTTAGAAACAAAAACTAATTCCTTGAAAGGCCACAGCCTTATCTTCCGGGAGCTCAGAACATGTATGCCACAGAGATGCCCTTCAGCTCCAGCAGTAGCACATTAGGACCATCCACTTTTCACTGCAATGTGTATGTGCTTGTTAAAGAAGCAAGGGGGTTTGTGCTTACTTGCTAACAAACGGACAAAGAATATTCATGCTGCTCTCATGGGTCAGGTTTGTTTTCACTGTGCTTTTGGCCTGTGACAAAACTGATGTTACAGAAAACATCCTTGGGGGGAAGGTCTAGCTCAGCGGTAGAGCACACGTTTAGCATGCAGGAGGTCCTGGGTTCAATTCCAGGATTATGACAGGAGGCCAAGCCAGTCATAGAAGGGACGCTGTCTCTCACCACATTTGCTGTCCTGCCAGACGAGTGACCAAACCAAGCCTGGCCACCTGGACACCTTGCCCCAGGCCACAGTGTAGAAAGCCTCACCAAGACCCCCTGCTGTTCATAGTCCCATCCCTACCTTGGGGCTACCTGGGGTGGAGTGGGGTGTGAGAAGTAGAAATAAAAAAATTAAAGGATGGCTTCACTCAAGCTCACCCCACCTCCCTACGCCCTTGACCCCCGTGATGATTAAACGCACTGGGAATAGATGGCCAGACCTTAAGGAGATGGTTTTCTGCCTTTCTGCAAACACAAAATGCCACAATTTGACATGTGGCTCAGGAAGTGGGGGTCACTAGCGATGGGGACCCCTGAGTAGCTTCCTATTTTAAATACTTAGACCTACTAACCAAGGTCAGGGCTTAGCCAATTCTAGACGGCAGGGGAGGGCGTGAGCTGCCAACAGGTAACGACACATTTTCTCAAAATAATTATTTAACAGGTTTTTGCCCTCTAAACCTCAGTGCCGCAGCACAAAACCCAAGTCACTAGCCTCAGGCTATGGCTCTGGGTGGCTGCCTGTGTCCGAGGCACCGGCAGGTTGAACCTGCATGGAGGTGGCATTCTTTGGGGTATGGTTCTAAGCCTGCGCTTCCTAGCCTGATCGACATGGTGAGTATTGGTTTATGTATTCATCACCTCCAGTAGCTTCTGAGCCTGCTCGGAGCAAAGCCAAGGCATATATCAACCTCAAAATATGACTGATGAGGGAAGGGAAGGGGAGAGAAAGGGAGGAGGAAGGATGGCCAGCTAGTCAATTGACTGGTTTTACTCCAGCCCATCTCCCAAAACAGACCCACTCAAGGCAGGGCCAGGCTGTCCCTGGAGCCTCTGTCCCACACTTGCCTCCAAACACGTGCACGTTCTCCCTCAGCACCGTTGTCATCTGGAGCTCCTGAATCCTTGTGCAAGTGACCCTTGGGCAGGAGGACGATGATGTCCACATTCTTTGCCCCATGAACACTCTCGATGGCAGCACTCCCTGTGTCCCCAGAAGTTCCTGGATGGGATGAAGGAGGAAGCCTCCCCTTTAGAATCAGGAAGATGGAAAAGGAAAGAAATGGCCCCATTAGGACCATTGTTGCGAGTAAGGCAAGATCTACACCTTAAATGCTTGGAGGGTAGGAACCTGCGTCTTAATCTGGAATCCTTCAACCTCCAAGAGAACCAGACTGAAATCAGGGCATCTGTGAACTTGGCATCCTGTAATCTATGCATTTTATGTATTTTTAAATACTATTCTGAGAAGGTTCCATAGCCTCCACCAGACTGTCAAAAGGTGACACAAGAGAAGGTTAAGATCTCTACTCTAGAAGAACCAGTAACACACTCCTCGAGACATCAGTGGAGGGCATCCTAGGGGTGGACGCCGGCAAGAGGGGGCACCAGCGCGCATGCGCACAACGCACACCTACAACCACAGTGACGCGCTGCTTCCTCTTCTCCAGGAAGCGCTGCAGGAACTGTGCGGTGCAGCCCAGGGACAGGTCCTTAAACGCGTACGTGACCCCGTGCCACAGCTCCAGCACGTTCAGCCCGTTCCTCAGCCTGGACAGATGGACCACCTCTTTGTGTCGGAATCGGCTGAAGGCTCGGTCGACCAGACCTATGGGGGTGGGGGGAGGTTGGACAGTGAGTGAAGGGCATTATCTCTTCTCTCAAGTTCTCTCTTAGTCTCTTTACACTTTTACATTTGAAATTTCTATCTCTTGCTACCAGGTAGAAAGACCAGAAATTTTTCTCCTAAAAGATGCTGTGTCTGAATATGGTGTGGGTGTGTGTGTCTATTATAATCCTAGGAAAAAAAGTCTGAAAGACATGAACCAAACTGTTCATAGGTTCCTCATAGTGGTTCCCCCAGAGGGCAGAACTGCTGCTGTAAGACTTCTGTTTTTCACTTGATAAACTTCTCCATCACTTGGATTTGTTGTGTGCACGTATTCCAACAGAAGTTCAATTAAACAGTTACGCAACAAACAAATCAGTGTCTCATCTCTTCTAATTTTCCTTCCTAAAGGTAGGAAGCTGTTTGCTTGTTTGTTTGTTTTTGCATCACTTAACCTCACACCTGTGCTGCCAGAAACTTGGGATGGTCTACGTACAACCCTGCCTAAGGCTAAGGTCATCCAGAGTAGTGTTTCTCAAACTTTAATTGGCAAACCAATCACCTGGGATCTGAAAACGCAGATTCTGGTTCAGGAGGCCTGAGGGAATCTGAGAATTCTAACGAGAACTCAGGCAATGCCATAAGAGCTGGTCTTCCAACCACATTTTGAGTCCTCGTCTTCCCAGCCCCAGACTCTCACCATCACCCTGTGCATTGTATTATACACTTGGTCCACAGACCAGCACAAGTAGTATCATCTGGATACTTGAGAGGAATGCAGAATTCTCAGGCCCATCCCAGACCTACCTAATTAGAATCCACATTTTAACAAGATTCCCAAGAGGGATCTGTAAGCACATTACAGTTTGAGACAAGCCGTTCCAGGACCCTCTCAAAGTCCTTTCTGGAATTATCATTCAAGAAAATAAAACAGCAACCTGAGGTTCAGGTGCTTTGTATGCAGGAAGGAAATATCCCAACATTCAAGCATCTCAGGTTGATAGTGATACCCCTAGTCTTGAAAGAGTTTTTTTTAAAATAAACTAAAAAAAAAGTTCTCTGCTGTTGACTTTGGCATTCATCTCCCTGGAGGTGAATGGGAGCAGGATGGATGAACCTCCTAGGGGTTAAATGATGGATTTGCAACTCTGTAGGAGCAGTTAGAGGACCGGGACTGGGCTGGCAGAACAAGATGGGAGAGCAGGAAGGAAGGAGATGCTCACCGGTTAAGTCATCCCTTGAAATGAGCTGAGGGCCAATGAAGAGGGCACACAGCTCCTTCACCAGGTCGGGGTAGGAGAGCGTACTCCACTGACGCAGGGTCTCTCTGTCCAGCTGTGGGAGCTCCTCGGGCATGTAGAGGCCCCCATCTGGAGCATAGCCAGAGAAGAGGGCCCCCTCAAAGTCGACCCGTGGGGCCATCCCCCGAGTGCTGACGTACCACATGACACTGGAGACCTGCAGAGGGAACAGCCCCAGGGGCACTTGATCCTCAAGCTCAATACCCTGCGGGGCAAAGCTGAAAGATACACAGCCCCCTCGGCTGGCCCTGAGCCATCATTCACTGGGGTAAGTGCCCAGACTGGGAGACTGGAGTTCTGTGAAGTCTTATGCCAGCTTCAGTTGAGATATAGCTTCACCGGCTTAGCTTCATTTCTCTGCCAGGGCCAGAGGGGAACCCCTGCCCTCTGGCGATAAAGTCACCTGAAGCCTTCCACCTATGAGAAAGGGAATGAGCTTCAACTGACTTGGAGGAATTTTGGTTTCCTAGACTGGAGATCTGACACCTCTGAGCCCAGTGCAAGTCCTCCACGGGCTGCCACATGCCGCTCTGGAGCCTGTGAACACGAGTGCCTCCAACTTAGAGACAGAGACAAGTTTAACTTTCCCAATCATGAATCTTTTAAAAGTGGACGTGGATACTAATAACAATGAAGCTGGGACAATGGGTATAAGCCAGACTGTCTCAAGCAAATGAAGCACAGGGTCACCCCGGACAGGGATGCACTCCAAAGAAATGAAATCAGGGTACATCCAAAAGCCAAATGCAGGGAGTAGGCAAAGAAGGCCCAGGGTCTCACGAAGCAGAGCCCGGGTAGGAGGAAAAGGAGGAACTTCTGTAACTCTGTGGCAAGGGTTACAGCCAATGCCAACTGCCCAAGACCATGGAGTAAGCAGAGGGCGATCCTGTCTGGCCACTTCCTGGACCAGACTGAAGGAAAGGAGGCAATTGAGCTGTCAGAGAAGCTGCCACAGGCGAGAGGGCTGGAGCAGGGGCTGACAGGGCTCCGAGGAACAGCCAGAGAAAACTGCGGACCGCGCTTCCCTGGGGATGGGGGTGCGGTGGACCACAGCACACCTGGGGCGCTGGGCTCTGTTCTGGGCTCCCCACTTTAAGGAGGATGAGAGCAAAGTGGCCCGGAAAGGACGAGCAGGCCTGACACCAGGCTCTGCACATATCAGTGGAGGAACTGGACTGATTAGCACACAGGTGGCTGTCTTTACCGGGAAGGGCGACCTCTGTTCTGTCCAACGACCCCCAGGGAGCAGTCTTCTCAGGCCAACAGAGTACAGCTACAGAGAATATACATCCCTGGGTTCAATGTCAACCAAACTGAGGCGCCCAGCAGCTGCCACGGGAGGTGGTGAAGGCGAGGAAGAAAATCAAGCGCTCTCGTGGGGCTGTTCTCCGGGGGCTGCGAGCATCGGGCGGGGACTGGACTAAGCGACCTCTGGCGCGCGAGGCTTTATAATTTGCTCTTGTGACTCCGCTGGGCCCTATTCCGGACTGCAGGCAGGTCAGGAAAACTCTGACCCCTAACCTTGATAAAAAACGAGAGAAACAAGAGGCCGCCCCAAGTCAGGGAAACCTTT